ACTTCTTTCACTTTGCTGACGCTTATAAAAATCTGTTTGCTTACTAGGGTCTACTTCATTCAAAGATGATGCAAAATTTTGGAAACAGCAGCTGCCATGAAAAGTGAAAAGTTAAAGAAAGGACATCGACGGCTCGACGACTTCTTGCGTTATATCTGGCACACATTGTCCCATTGTTACATGAAAGAAAATATATCGTCGAACCCAGCAGCTGGTCATTACAAATCTGAGCAGCTGTGTGCCAAAAGAAAAACAAGCAGATGAAGAAAACTGCGTAACTGTCCCATAAATTTGCAATCGTAATCGATTCGCACATCTTTTTTCCCAGGTAGAATAATCCATAGTTCCATATGCATGCAATTATATCTGAAACTCATTATTTTGTAGGCTGTGTTGCCGCTGTTACAGATATGTATGTCGCTTGCCTTTTTGGAGAAGGTTTATCGAATCATTTTCGTGTAATTAGAGTTGCGGTAGTTCTGTCCATAAAAATGTCATGACTGATATTTGGTAATTGAAAATTATGATAAGACTTTATAATGGATATTCATAACTCATTCGATTATCTATTTATCTTAAATATCACAAAAGAGGGTTCAGGTAATGAATGCAGAGATTGTGTATCTCCCCAAGTTGTCAAAAAACATCTTAGAAAATTCTAGAAATTTGCGGCTTGAGAGACATAGTTATATATGGTGGTTAAAAGATCTATCTAGAAGAAAAACTATGAGTGCAGAGTTCAGGGTATATCTTAGTCGGGCACTCCTCGGTAGAGCACTTTTACTTGTTTCTTCTTTCTTTCCAATTATACCTGTTCTTCTATATTAGCAATTCGCTATTATTAACATTTTTTTATTATTAACGTTTCTACGACGAGGAATTCTGGCTTATCTCAATTTGTAAGCTAGAACCATCAAGTTCTTGTAAAAGACATCTATTTAGATCTTTTTGTCTCTAATTCTCTGGTTTTTGCTTGAGTTCATGATGAACTCCGTTGAACTCTCGAGGCGGTCAGCAGCGAAGCGAGCTCCTCTGGCACTCTCGCTTATCACAAATGCGGGGGCGGGGGTCAGGGGAATCATCAGGCGTGCTTTATAAATAGTTTAAACATCCGCTTTACGCCTCAACACCGTTTGGATGACACATATACGAGCGAATTTTTGTTTATTTATTTGTTATGTATGTATATGTATGTGTGTATACATAAATAATAATAACGATTAATCATTTTATCAATGAAGTGTGATGTTGCAAATAAAAAATAAAAAATAAATCAGAAATTAAGTTTAGCAATGTCGCTAATCGAGGGAGATAGAAAGAGAGAGACGACGCCAGTATGACCCAATTGATGGAAGTATGTATGTTATGGAGTTCTGATCTTCTTGTGGCTGCTGCTGCCGTCAGTGTCAGCGTCAGCATCATTCAGTGACGACATCACCCACAGCGGCGCGAACAAGAACAAATGAGTTATCATACAACGGTCCTCTCCTGTCTGATTCTGACCCACCCTCTGCATCGTCTGGCTGCTCTCTCTCTCACTCACTGCCGTCTGGCGTTTGCCCTCTCCCCTCTCCCCTCCTTCCACCTTCTTTGTCTCGTCTGTTACTGGCTGCAGCCTGCAGCAGGAAACCGATGTTGTTGTGAGCAGCGCTGCTGACGGCGCACAAATACTTTTTGCTCCAATTTGCACGCACCAACAACTACTACTACTACTACAACAACAATAACAACAGCAACAACAACAAAGTCGCGACAGTCATAAGCTCCTCTATGCGTGTGTGTGAGTATGTGTGTGAGTTGTCAGGCGTTTGTTTGTATGGACACAGCACTCTTAAATTCCATATTCCACATTGCTTATGCGACAAACGCAGCAAAAGTAAAACCAACAACAATAAAAGTAAAGCAACAATGATGGCAATGCTGCTGGGTTGAGTTTTGCGTCGCGTTCTCTCTTGTTGCTTTCGCGTATTTTAAAAATAGCCAGGCCAGCGCGCATAAGCGAACAGAAACGCCAAAGCAAGTGTGTAATTTTTGAAGCACATAGCAACTGACATACCCTATATTTCAATTCCACATTGTTTTAGAAAGGTGGAGAATCTTTATGAAGACGTAGATCATGTAACATAATTTCACTTTAAGACAACTAAAATCGTTTAAAAAAAGTTAACACAAATTTTTCTATTTTTGCTTTTCTTATTGATTGTCCAGTGTATAGAAAAAACATGTCCTTTTCACGCACTCCTAATGCATATAGCATACTTTTAGGGTGCAATATGAATCCTGTAAAAGAGAGTTCGTTCCTAATCTATGAAGATATTTGAAAGTGAGCCAAGCATCGGTCGCATACCGCTAGGAATGTGCTATGCTCGATCGGAAGGGTATCGTTCGCAGAAGCAACGACCAAAAAGAAGAAGAAACCAACAACAAAAGGCAACAAAAACATTAATGAAATCGTTTTTAACTCGTTTCGCTCAAGTATTTTCATGCGTTTTGTTGTGGGGGACTTGAATCTCGCTCTGATGTGGCCTCTCTCGCCGTGCTTAGTGTTTCGCTCTTCTGAGTTTCGCCGCAGCTTGTTTATAAAAAAGTGCAACAACAAACACCGAATACCTACATACATACATACATATGAGCGAATACATGCATGTACGCTATGTGATATATAATATAAATGATAAAACAAACTCGATACGATCGACACGACACGACGACCCAACAGCAGCAACAACAAACAGCAGCGAGAGACTACAGTTTGAAAAAGCTCAAAATCAAAGTCAAAATGAAATGCGAACGTGCTTTTGTTTTTGGTCTTATTATTATTACTTTTATAACAAGTATTCTAGCTGAAGTCGATTGCTTGCAGCAAGTGCGCCGCCATTTGTATAATAATTGTCGGATTTGAATTGTGTGAGCCCATTTCTGTTAGCTGTTTCTGATCGCTTTCTTTTACCAATGGAATTAAGTATTTTAGTTATGTACGTATGTATGTATGTATGTACGTGTAAATACTATTTTGTGGAGTTGGAATTGCAATAAGTACTACAATAAAATATAAATATTATATCCTATGATCAGGGATAACATTTTTACCATGAACATATGTAATGCATTTATTATATATTAATGGAATGTGGTTTGCAATATTAAATTTAAGGATTCGCTTGAAAGAACTGTAAATATATATAAATAGGATGCAGAAAGTACACCATATCCTTGTCAGTGACGTTTGCGTACCAATGGGAACTCTAGCTAATGTCTGATTGGAGCTTAACACCTAACTGTTCTGAAAGGATTACATTCTGGTTTATTCTCTAATTGGAAGCGACTATTTGCAACGAGTAAAAGACATTGAAAAACACAAATCATGGTTTCCAGAATAAATCATAACTATATAGGAATTTGTCGCTCAACAAATAATTATGTACATATGTATATATTTTTAAAAATTGTGTGTATATGATAGACAGTGGCAGCGACAGCATCAGAAGAAACCTCAGCATTTGTATGTATACCAATTAGAAAACAGGTAAAGAAGCAACTGGTTAAAGAGCTGAAGGCCAACAACAGCAGCAATAGCAGAAGAAGAGGCACAACTCTGTTACCAAAAATATGCAGAGTTATCTACATCTGTTGTTGTTGTTGTCGTTGGTCTTGGCTCTGCTCTCAATCAGCTCCCAGCCACAGTGTTGAACACTGCAAATCCACAAAAAAAACATTAATGATGACGCAGCTTCGGGCGGAGGTCATCAAACTATGATGACGTCGCCATCGCCATCTCCATTGCCATTCACAATTTTATTCGCTCTACAAATATAATAATATGTAGCCAAGCGGCATTAGAACGGTTCGAGTGGGACAGATATAAAATAAAGCCTCAGCTCTAATTGTTTTTAGTTTCATTTGCAATTTGGCAATATGGGTAATAGGTCCAAATGCGACGGAAACAGCTTTGCAAACCATTTAACAAATACTCAAGCCCAGATGTAATTTCATTACAAATAAAAAAATTTAATTATATATCACTATTATGTTGTACAAAAAAAAATATATCTATATACATTCTTCTCATTTGTAAACTGGATAATAATTTATCTGTTGATAAACCATTCAATATTTGTCATATATTCATCTATAGTAATCGTAGTATTAAAGGAATAATTTCATTAATGGTTTGGACTATTAAAGAAAACAGAAAACATTAAATACGATGTAAAAATAATCATAATTATTCAGGAAAGCAAATATACCGGTAATTATGCTTTTCTATTAAATATTTATTTTTGACTTATAGAAGACACATACACACCCACCCAGAACGATAGACTCGACAATTCCATATGAATCCATATGTACATGTGCAATCATTGTAATAGGAAATGGCGATATGTGACGTCATGCTGAACCAATGAATTTGAGTTTTTTTTTTTTTTTTTTGGTAAGTTGAAAAGCCGTTAGTTTTGAACGCACACGCTGTCAAGCAAAAAGAGACCACGCAGCCGTTGAGAAGCAGCAGCAGCAGGTTGATGGATCGGGAACCGGGCAGCGTGACCAGTATTGCCACATATAGAAAATACATATTGCAGAAATCGGATAATGCAAAAATCACAATTAATATTATATAAATTTCCGATTCAGAGAGTAAGTTTACAATGTTTTCTGGCTTGCGCGAGTTTCTTTCTTCCTTCTGCTCAGTACAAGTAGAGTGGCAGTAGAGGCCGGCATTACACAGTACTACTTAATATGAATTTACCCAGCGCAGCACCCTCCTACACTCGCACACTCACACGGTCGAACACTTGCACACACTCACACTCTATGTACATATGTATATACATGTATGTATGTGCATACCCTCGCGCTTTTAAATACGAGTCACATTTTTACAGCCGCTACATTCTAATATAATTATAATTATATATACATATAGATATATATATATATATACATATATATTTAATTTTTATATATTTATTTATGCATATATACACATTAGTACCTACCACATTTTTGTCGTTCCTCTATGCCCGGGATATGGATTTTTCTGCCACGTTTTTTACACAGTTTTAATTAAGCCACATACTTGGTATTGATCCCGATTTGTAGCTTATAAGATTTACATTCAATTGTGTAAAGTTTTATGAAGCTCGCTTTACGTTTGCTACGCGAAAAAGTGCTGCTTAAAGACTATAAGAGTAAAATGTGCTTCAACGCTTCTTCTTCGACACGACAATTGGTGGCTGCAGAAAGAATGAACGAGAGAGTGAGTGAGAAAGAGAGGCGAGCAGGCTGCGGTCGCGGCGGCGGCAGCACCACCAGCGACAACCGAATCGAAAAGCAACAGCAGCGAAATGCGGCAACCGCAATGCTGATGACGTTTACTTCTTTTGTTGGTTTTTAAAATATTGAGACCAGTGGGCGAAAAGGCGCCAATTTTTCTTTATATGTATGCATTTAAAACTGAGTAAATATACCTAAATTTGAAGCCAAATCCATCTATTTCTTTCTTTCTTTATTATAACACACGGATATGTGACGCGCCAGAAATGAGCAACTTATATTGGTATTGGTGCTGCTGTCGTCGTACGTGTTTTATTGCCTGCTTTGCTTTTGATACTTTGTTTGTTCTTTTACACGCAGTTTCTTGAACACACAGTGTTGCTTTTTTGCACTCATCAATGTAGCGACAATTGTGTTAATTTAAATACTAGCACTTAATATCGCTGCGCTTTCAATTTGGTTATAAAAAATTTACGGCAAATTTAAGTCGGGACACATGAACCCGAAATACAGGTATACGCAAATACGCCGACGCACACACACAGTCAACTAAAACGTGAGCGTCAAGACGTTTTTTTTTGTTGTTTACGTCGAACAGCTGTTGGTCAGCTGTGCGTGCAAACAGCTGTTAATCTCTCCTGTTAACAGGTCTGTTTATTGACATCCATAGCTGACACCGCAGTTGGCAGTTTTGCCGAGGCTGTCAAAGTTGCCAGCGCTGCCAACTGTTAAGAAAATTCAATTTTCGATACGTTTTCAATGAAGTTAATAATATTTGGTCAAGTCCATTTTGCAAATTGGGTTCTAAAGGTACATACGTTTTTTAGACAGTGCATTGAACTTCAGTTTGGCCGCGTAAGTCTCAAAATTTAAGAGGGCTGTCTGTGAATCGAGCACGCTGCCTATTCACAGAGTAAGACGAAAAAAGGGTTGTTCGATTCTCTCCAATTGCATTTGCAGCACGAATTGAATGCCGTTTTTTAGTCATACAGCGTAACCCCAGCATCAGGGCAAGGCTTTATTTTTGCGATTTTCGGCTTGCAATTCAAGATTGCAAATTTCTGTCTGGCATGCATAGAGGAATATATACACATATATTATGCTGATGTTTTTTTTTTTTTTTTGGGCATTTCCTTAAGATTAATGGAAACAGGAGTTGAACAAAAGGCATGCACAAATGCGAATTGCGTTCGGTTAATTTCACAACAACAAAGTCAAACACATTTAATACTCAAATATCAATTATGACGAACACTTCGTAAAGCCCCTTCGCCGCGTCCTGCACCACTTGCATCGCCGAGTATGTGATCGCCTTTACTTCGGTGCCCTGTGGATGCTTGCCTAGCTCGAAGGGTTCGCCATAGCAGCGACATACGATTTCAAAGTTGTTCAAATCGAATTTCGTGATTTCCAGTTTCTTGCACACCAAATAGGGCTCCGCCGAAAAAAGGAACAGCAGCTCGTCCAGAAAATGAAAGAGCAGACCTTCAATGTCGTCGCCCTTCGCCTCGATCTCGTAGCAGTTATTCACAGTCACATAGGAAAGATCCGTCATGTAGCCAAACATTGCGACGCCGCATTGCTCGAACGCCTCCTTCAACGTGGAGCCCCAGCCGTGCAACCTAAGCGATAATTAGAAACATTTTTATCCGTGATTCATTTTCGTTTCCCGCCTCCAACGTGGGCTACTCACTGCACATCAGCTGTGTGATCCAAATCTGTTTACAATACAACGTTAATATATAATATTATTACAATCACTTTTTCTCACATTCATATTTTGTTTCGGGCAGCAGAAAGTTGTCCTTGCTGAATTCCACCTCCATTTTCAAATTAAGTTTTGTCCGCACGCTTGTATTTCGCGAATTTGGCCAATTAAATTGGTATCAGCTGCTGCGCGGCTTACATTTCCCTATTGAGGAAATATTAACAGCGTATTTTAACATAATTCTGGCACCGCGAATCTGTTTCTATAGCTTTATAAATTTTACCAATTGCCTGATCGGTGATTATGAGTAACAAGTAAATAGTGCATACATTATTTTAATTTAATAAGGCAATGGAAAATTATGTTGAAGCTGAATTTATTATAGTAATGGTAAATTGCTTATTTTTCGGACAATTGGGTTCAAGTCTTAGCTATACGCATCGTCGTACACATCTGTTAGTAACATACATACTTCTACTTATCGATAACGTCGACTGCTGTAGTTGAGATTTTGATGCCTTGAAAGTACTGTCATATTGCATTAGTAGCACAAAGTAAAACACAAATTTTTCATTTCAATAAAAGAAGTCGTGCGAGCAGTACAATTCGAAAAAATTAAATTTCTCAAATATAAAATATAGAAATTTATAAAAACTGGTTTTTCAGCGTTCTGAATAATTCGAAATATAATCAAGAAGTTGTACCAATTAATTGTACGGTATGGACACCGCATCGGACAACGACAGCGACGAAGGCTCCATTGGCGGTAATGCGGCAAATGATATGGGAATTGATCTGACCGGCATATTGTTCGGCAACATTGACTCGGAGGGCAAACTCGTGGACGACGAGGATGACAAAGGCCACGCTTTTGATGCGGAACTGCGCGAAAATCTAGGCTCTTTATCCAAGTATGACTTAAAATTGATGGATTATTTATGTATATGTATGTATATATATATTATTGATGTGCTCAAATTTCAGATTGGGTCTTAATTCACTTTTGAACGAAGTGATTGATCAGAATGCCGTCAATTCGGATGAAGATGGTGAGGACAAGCCGATGGCAGAAGCCTCTGAATCTTTGAGCGCCTTCGATGCCCTGAAGGCTGGGCTAAGCAATGAGGCCAACGAGGATGGAGCCATTAAGGCTCAGGACGATGCAATCGATTATTCGGACATTAATGAGTTGTCCGAGGACTGTCCACGCACACCGTCGCCTCCAGCTCAGCAAACTGACGATGGTGCATCTATTTTCGACGACCTGGAAGATGCTATACCAGCTACCAAAGTAGAGGCGAAGTCCAGTAGGTAGCTTAGTATGTAGATAGAACCTTTCGCTAAACATCTTATGCTTGTAGCCAAAGACGACAAGGAGCTGATGCCGCCGCCTAGTGCACCGATGCGAAATGCCAACGCAGCGTCAGCTGGCAACGAGGAATCCCCCACAAAAAGTGGACCAGCTGAAGCGTCTGGCGGCAGCGACGAAAAGTCAAGCGACGCTAAAGGTAGCTGAGCTTAGAATAGATTATAACTTATATATATATGTATTTCGCTATATAGCCGAAGCAGATCGTCGCCTGGACACGCCCCTGGCGGACATATTGCCGTCAAAATACCAAAACGTCGATGTTTGCGAGCTGTTTCCCGACTTCCGTCCACAAAAGGTGCTGCGCTTCTCTCGCCTCTTTGGACCGGGTAAGCCCACCAGTCTACCTCAGATCTGGCGGCATGTGCGCAAGCGGCGGCGTAAGCGCAAACAGTCGCGTGACCAGAAAACAAGCAATAATGGCGGATCGGATTCGCCAAGCGATTCTGAGGAGCCACGTAGACGCGGCTTTAGTCTTCACTTCGGTCCAGATCCAACTCCGGCTCAATGCATGTCCGATGACGAGGACAAGTTGTTGAGCGACATGAACAGCGAGGACGTGCGCCAGGAGGGACCAGACAATGGCGAAAATAGCGATCAGAAACCAAAGATCGCCGATTGGCGCTATGGACCCGCACAGATCTGGTATGATATGCTGGATGTGCCTGATTCTGGCGAGGGATTCACCTACGGGTTCAAGACGTCCTCCTCGCAGCCTAAGTACCTCACTGAACGCTCGGAAGTAGGGGGCGATAAAAATGCCGAGCAGCCGGAACTCAGCATTGCGGATGATGCATTTCTTATGGTCTCCCAGTTGCACTGGGAGGACGATGTGGTCTGGGATGGCAACGACATTAAGGCCAAAGTGCTACAAAAGCTCAATTCCAAGACAAATGCCGCGGGCTGGCTGCCCTCGAGTGGATCTCGCACAGCGGGCGCTTTCAGTCAGCCGGGCAAGTCCGCTTTGCCGGTGGGCAACAGCGGAGGGAATGGCGGAAACAGCGGCAAACAAAACTCTGGTGGCTCAAACAAGAAGGCGCTGCAGAGGTGAGTTCTATATATAACACTTATGCAGCTCAATGAAATGAATTCCCTTTTGATTTGAAGTGCTGCCCAAAGCAAGCAAGTGGAGGTTACCGATGATACCTGGTACAGTTTGTTTCCCGTGGAGAACGAGGAGCTCATCTATCACAAGTGGGAGGATGAGGTCATTTGGGATGCTCAGCAGATGAACAAAGTGCCCAAGCCGAAGGTCTTAACTTTAGATCCCAATGATGAAAACATTATACTCGGGATACCCGATGACATAGATCCGTCCAAGATTAACAAGAACACTGGGCCTCCGCCCAAGATCAAGATACCGCATCCTCACGTTAAGAAATCTAAGATATTGCTGGGTAAGGCTGGTGTGATCAATGTACTGGCCGAAGATACCCCTCCGCCGCCGCCCAAGAGTCCAGATCGCGATCCCTTTAATATATCGAATGACTCGTGAGTAGATGGAAATCATTAATCTGATTTTGTATGAAATGGATCATAATCAATTTTTGTCCTCTTACAGCTATTACACACCTAAAACAGAGCCCACACTGCGTCTCAAGGTTGGCGGCGGCAATCTCATACAGCACTCGACTCCAGTGGTGGAGCTACGTGCTCCGTTCGTGCCTACGCATATGGGACCGATGAAGCTGCGCTCGTTTCATCGTCCGCCGCTAAAGAAGTACTCGCACGGTCCGCTCGCGCAAAGCATTCCGCATCCTGTTTATCCGTTGCTGAAACATATTGTAAAGAAGGCCAAGCAGCGCGAGGTGGAGCGCATTGCTTCTGGCGGCGGCGACGTGTTCTTCATGCGCAATCCCGAGGATCTGAGCGGCAAAGATGGTGATATTATTCTAGCTGAGTTCTGTGAAGAGCATCCGCCGCTTATGAATCAAGTGGGCATGTGCTCCAAGATCAAGAACTATTACAAGCGCAAGGCCGAAAAGGACAGCGGTCCACAGGACTATGTCTACGGTGAAGTGGCTTTCGCTCATACGAGCCCATTCCTGGGTATTCTGCACCCGGGTCAGTGCATCCAGGCCCTGGAGAACAACATGTATCGTGCACCAATCTATCAACACAAGATGTCCATCACGGATTTCTTGATTATTCGCACGCGCAGCAACTACTGGATTCGTGCTGTGAATGCAGTTTTTACTGTGGGTCAGGAGTGCCCACTGTACGAAGTGCCTGGACCCAACTCGAAGAGGGCTAACAACTTTACGCGCGACTTCTTGCAGGTATTGCAGCTTAGATATTAGCTTTCGATTCTGTTTAAGCACTTGCATATTTTAGGTCTTCATTTATCGCCTATTCTGGAAGAGCCGCGACAATCCTCGTCGCATTCGCATGGATGACGTGAAACGCGCCTTTCCGGCCCACTCGGAGAGCAGCATACGCAAACGATTGAAGCAGTGTGCTGACTTCAAGCGCACAGGCATGGACTCCAATTGGTGGGTCATCAAGCCCGAGTTCCGCCTGCCCTCCGAGGAGGAAATTCGTGCCATGGTATCGCCCGAGCAGTGCTGTGCCTACTTCAGTATGATAGCAGCAGAACAACGTCTAAAGGTGAGTAGTCTATAAATACTATTTAGTATTAAGAATCTCGATGTATGAAACACCAGATAGAGAGAAGGCGTCTCAGAACACACAAAATGTATAATTCGGTGTAGGCTTAGCAGGCCTTGACAATCGACAATTTTTAGCTTGTCAAGTTATGTATGTACAATTTAATTTCGTGTTAGTTTAAGCAAGTCTGAGCAACATAGCAGATCAAAAATTGTGCTCTACAGTTTTCTCAAAGATTTATACGAAAAATATCGCAGTTTTCATTAGATATAAAATAAATATAAAATAGAAATTGAGATTATAAATAATTTCTAATAAATAATAAATAATAAATAATGAGTGGTGATCCCGTTGAAAACCAGGATGCGGGATATGGCGAGAAGTCGCTGTTCGCCCCTCAAGAAGATGATGATGAGGAGGCGCAACTGCTGGACGATGAGGTGAAGGTGGCACCCTGGAACACCACACGCGCCTACATACAAGCGATGCGCGGCAAGTGCCTGCTGCAGCTGAGTGGACCTGCTGACCCCACTGGCTGTGGCGAGGGCTTCTCCTATGTGCGCGTGCCAAATAAGCCAACGGTGAGTGCTGTCAAATAGATCGAATTAATACGTATACACACATATATAAATCCTACGTCCTTTGTCTGTGTGCAGCAAACAAAAGAGGAGCAGGAATCGCAGCCGAAACGTTCAGTTACGGGTACCGACGCTGATTTGCGTCGTCTGCCCTTGCAGCGGGCCAAAGAGCTGCTGCGCAAGTTCAAAGTGCCCGAGGAGGAGATCAAGAAGCTCACTCGTTGGGAGGTCATCGACGTGGTGCGCACGCTTTCCACTGAGAAGGCCAAGGCCGGCGAGGAGGGCATGGATAAGTTCTCGCGCGGAAATCGCTTCTCCATAGCCGAGCATCAGGAACGCTACAAGGAGGAATGCCAGCGTATCTTCGATCTGCAGAATCGTGTGCTCGCCAGCTCTGAGATATTGTCCACTGATGAGGATGAGTCTTCGGGTTCCGAAGAATCTGACCTGGAGGAGCTAGGCAAGAATCTCGAGAATATGCTGGCCAATAAGAAGACATCGACTCAGCTGTCACTGGAACGCGAGGAGCAGGAGCGTCAAGAGCTGCTGCGCCAGCTGGAAGAGGAGCAGGGCGATGGAGCCAGCAAAGCGGCCAAAGCCAAGGAGGAGGCCACACAGCAGCCTATGGCCAACAGCAATCAGGGACGCATTTTACGCATAACGCGCACCTTCAAGGGCAACGATGGCAAGGAGTACACGCGCGTGGAGACGGTTCGCCGGCAGGCGGTGATCGATGCGTACATCAAGATTCGCACCACCAAGGATGAGCAGTTCATTAAACAATTCGCCACGCTGGACGAGCAGCAGAAGGAGGAGATGAAGCGCGAGAAGCGGCGCATCCAGGAACAGTTGCGTCGCATCAAGCGCAACCAGGAGCGTGAGCGCTTAGCACAGCTGGCACAGAACCAGAAGCTGCAGCCAGGCGGCATGCCCACTTCGCTGGGCGATCCCAAGAGCTCGGGCGGACACGCACACAAGGAGCGCGACAACAGCCACAAAGAGGTTAGTCCATCGCGCAAGAAATTCAAGCTCAAGCCGGATCTCAAACTGAAGTGCGGCGCTTGCGGCCAAGTGGGTCACATGCGCACCAACAAGGCCTGTCCACTGTACACGGGCATGCAGAGCAGTTTGTCCCAGTCGAATCCCTCGCTGGCCGACGACATGGACGAGCACAGCGAGAAGGAGATGAACATGGATGATGATGATTTGGTTAATGTGGATGGCACGAAGGTCACCCTCAGCAGCAAAGTGCTCAAACGCCACGGTCAGGCGCTGGAGGACGGCAAGCGACGTGGCGGATTGACACTGAAGGTACCGCGCGATGCCGTGGGCAAGAAGAAGCGTCGCATGGCCAACGATGTACACTGCGACTACTTGCAGCGTCACAATAAAACGGCCAACCGTCGCCGTACCGATCCCGTTGTGGTGCTCTCCTCCATATTAGAGCATATTCTCAACGAGCTGCGCTCCATGCCGGACGTGTCGCCGTTTCTCTTTCCGGTCAATGCGAAACGCGTGCCGGACTATTATCGCGTGGTCACCAAGCCCATGGACCTGCAGACCATGCGCGAGTACATTCGTCAGCGTCGCTACACCAGCCGCGAGCTCTTCCTCGAGGACCTCAAGCAAATCGTGGACAACTCGATGATCTACAATGGAGCTCAGAGCGCCTACACCTTGGCTGCTCAGCGCATGTTCAACAGCTGCTTCGAGTTGCTGTCTGAGCGCGAGGATAAGCTGATGCGACTGGAGAAGGCAATCAATCCGCTGCTGGACGATGACGATCAGGTGGCACTGTCCTTCATTTTCGATAAGCTGCACACGCAGATCAGAGGTCTGAACGAGAGCTGGCCTTTCCTCAAGCCGGTTAACAAAAAGTCTATCAAAGATTACTACACAGTTATAAAGCGCCCCATGGATTTGGAGACGATTGCCAAGAATATTGAAAGTAAGTGGTGGAATAATTCATACATAACATAATCAAGAGATTTGCACTTCTGTTCAATTCACCCCATTTTCTTTAATTTGCCGTCAATATGTAAGGATTGTTTGATCTTTATTGTCTCGACTCGAGTGTAGGTGTGAGCACTACGCTCTCGGAATCGTTCGAAGCAACCAATTTTTTTTAAAGCATATGCACAATGTCTTTTCAACCCATATGATATTGGAAAAAAGGGTGTAATGCTTTTCCTTCCAAATCGTATCTATTTCACTTATTCCAATAGTATAATATGTAATAAATAAAACCCCACACTTGACATATATTGCAGATCACGTTTACCATAGCCGTGCCGAATATCTAGGGGACATCGAGCTAATCGCTGCCAACTGCGAGCAGTACAATGGAAGCGAGGCGCAGTATACCAAGTACGCCAAGAAGATAGTGGACTATGCCCACGCGCAGCTAGTGGAGGTAAGTGCTGCAAAGTAGGAGAAGAAGCAGCTTCTATATATTGTATCTTTGCAGTTTAACGACCATTGTGCCCAGCTGGAGGAGAACATCATGAAGACCCAGGAACTGGCCAGAGAAAACGCTCCCGAGTTTGAAGAGGCCTGGGGCAACGACGACTACGAAATGAGCCGCAGTCGCGCAAGCTCGCCCGGCGATGATTACATCGATGTGGAGGGACATACCGGACTAGCACTTGTCACACCCAATTCAATACATCGCTCCATGGTTGCCGACACAAGTGTATCGCACGGCATCTCTCCGGTGCGTAAGCCGGCGACGCCAGCCGGTAGCGAGGTGAAACGCGGCCGTGGTCGTCCACGCAAGCAACGCGATCCCGTGGAGGAGGGTATGTCCAGTTCCTTTACTCCTTATCATATTGTATGCGGTCTAGTCTGGGAGTCGTTGTTGCATTTAAACACATATATACATACATATACATCCATATACATACATATGAACATTTCTACCCCTAGTCTTGTTTAATACTGGTTATGCTCACGCTTCTACGCTTCTACGCATCTATTCCATGCTATAAATACATATACATATCTATCTATATGGAATCACTCGTGATCCCCTGGTTATGGTCTACATAGCGTTTGCTCCATGCGCTTATACTAATACAAAAATACTTGAGCTTCATAGCAGATATAGTTATACATATACATACATATATATAACATATCTGCATATTTAGTTTTAGAAAATTCCTTAGTTAGCAAAGAGTAGTCTCTTGCTAATAATACTAGACGTGCTTTACGTATAGATCATTTTGAATGAGTCAGTATGACTGAGTATTGAATTTGTGAATTGTGTTTGAAAATATGTAGTAAGTAGAGTAGTTGTATGGCACTATGTTAACTTGAAAATTCTGATCAGAATGTTATAAGGAAAACAATTAATTTGTTTTTAATTGTGTACATAATAGTCAAACTCCAATTTGACTAAATCTATAAAATATATTGGATAAATGTATATACCTATATTTGATCAAAGAACTAGTAATTATATGATGGTTATATCAATTATGATACAGTAAAGTCAGGCTATAACGATTCCCCTTACGCGTCGTTATAATCGGATTCTACTGTTTTTCAAATTGTAATGCACTTCAATCAGCTTCAATCATCAATCATATGTGATCAAAATATAGAGCGATGCATTCAGGCTAAGCCGATAGAACTGTATTTATGAACTATGTAAGAGTAATGTAATGTAATATGTAAGAGTATGCCATAATTTCCAATCTTCATCAAAGCTATACAATTGAAAGTTTGTATCATACGATAAGATATTTCAAAATTAGACAGGCTCAACCTGTACAATACAATTATAAATGAATATCAGACCGTGATTTCATTTTACAATCAAATTAATCTGGATTCGAAACTAAATTTCCTTAAATACGTACACAACCATATTTAAGTATAAAAACTAAGTTTAAGACCTTTTGAATGCATGTATTAGCACATACATATATATACACAGAAAGAAAACTTGTTGGCGTATATAACATCACTCAACAAAGATAAAGATAAAGGTTATAGGGTTCGCGACCCGAAGATGGGCATTGTTTTACACATTGGCCTTTATCGATTCGACGTTATCCCCCTGATAGAGTTAATTAGTAAAAATTACCAAATTACTTTCAAGTCAATGTATATATCCAATGTCTTAACGAAATGCAATTATTATGTTCGTGATTATTTTTGATTGTCACATAGCAAAAGCTTTTTCCATAATTGCAAGCAGATTACCAAATCACTTTTATCGCTACTCGCTATATACCCTGTAAACAATACAAAGTGCAAACAGTGCAATTGCAAACCAAATCTTATTTTCTAGTCAAAAATGCAAACCCGGTTAAACGAGGTCGGGGCCGTCCCCGCAAGGACAGCCTTGGCTCTAATATGAGTCAGACGCAAGCTTACTTTCTGGACGAAGGTAAGAGTCGTACGCAGTTATCTACTTACGTAATAACTATGTGGACCACAGATGTATTAACCGCACAAACACACACACACACACACAACACACACACTCACACCCACATGTATTTTTAATAATTTTTTAACAACTAAATTTGTAATAAACAAACACACACACATATATACCTTACACACCTGTCGCACTAAAGCTTTCATACTAATTTTTGCATTGTTTTGAATTTGGCTTTTATTATGATATTTCGCATATTTCGTATATATTTTAATGATTATTCGTTGTTTTATTATTATTAAATGTAACATTTTTGTAGTATTTTTATAGCATTTGATATTTTTGGGCTTTTGCAACACCATTTTATATTTTTGCAATTTTTTTATTGACTACATTTTTATTAAATTTTTTTTGTGTATTAAATACTATTTTTAAATTATTTTTCTTTATTATATATATTAGCTTTAAACATTTAGAATATTCACATTTTGTTAAACTCGCCGCTAGACGACTATTATTATACTGTGAACCCCAATAATTAATTGAATAATTTATTAATTTAACACTTCGTTTTTGCAAAAAGTTTCTTTCAGTTAATTTTTTCTTTTTGGCTAAAACTAATTTCAAAACATTTTATTGATTAATTATTTTTGTATATTTATCATGAACGACAAATCAGATCTGCAATGCTCGACGGATGATGACGAGGACGACGAGGAGGACTTCCAAGAGGTATCTGAAGATGAGAACAATGCTGCCCACATTTTGGACCAAGGGGAGCGCATGCAAGCACCCAACGATGGGATGTACTACATCGATCCAAAGAACATCAAAACGGAGATCGACATCGAGGCACAGCAAATGGCAGGTGGGTAATCACGCGTAGCTAACTGATAGAAATAATATTTGGCTTTGTATGTGATTGTGAGAATGTGAATACACTGAAAGCATACATAGTACATATTAATCTACACCTGTAATATGATTTCACGTAATTTTGACTCTTTCAATCTAAATGTGTTTTCTTTTGCGTGCTTTTGGATTCTGTTTCTCTACCACTTTCACGTGTTTCGTACTTTCGGTTTTATAATAGAGGAGCAATGCGGCGAGGACGACAGCCAGCAAGCGGCTGAAGCTATGGTGCAGTTGAGTGGCGTTGGCTACTACGCTCAACAGCAGCAAGGTTCATATAATACTCTTGACCCCTACTCAACCCCTCAGAATTTGTTAAAATATATATAAATAAATCTTAGTCTAGTAGTCACTGCCCCGGCACCTGGAAAAGCATTTCAGATCATATACTAACTGGATTCTTTCACCTTTTCCAGATGAATCCATGGATGTCGATCCGAACTACGATCCCTCCGACTTTCTGGCCATGCACAAGCCACGTCAGAACCTTGGCGAAAACTGTACTGCAGCCAGCGCGTTCTCTGACTTCATGGCCCAGGATGACAATGGCCAGTACAATCCGCCGGAAGCGAGCACTAGCTCGGCGGCAGCTGCCCAGCAGGAGGACGAGTCGCCTGCCGCAACGGGCACCAACAACGCCATGGGCATCGATGACGATCTCGATATATCAGACAGTGACGATGAGGACAATGGCGGCATGCGCATCAAGAAGGAGCTGCTCGATGATGGTGACATGGCTGACCAACAAGCCCAACAGCCAGCCCAAGACCCAAAACAAATATATGTGCTGGATGCTTCCAATGAACCCGTCCAGCCCGCCACTGACTACCAGCCGCAACAGTCGAACTATCAACCCGGACAGGAGCAGCAGGAGCAAGTCCAATCAACTAATATGCAACAACAGCAGCCGGAGTCGCAGCCGCAGACCCAAAGCGAAAATGATTATGATTGGCTGACATTCTAGTTTTAAGAATTTTCCGTTTTCTTTCTATTACTTTCTTTTTTTTTTATTATTATTATTATTATTATTGTGAACGATTTTCTTTAGATATTTCTGTATTCTTTCTTCCTTCTTTTATTTCTGATGTGACAAACCTCTTCTCAAATCAGAGAGGTGTTAAACATTTATATTTTTGCAATAAATTTAAATAATAATAAAAAAAACTCCTTGTTTCTCAGATTAGAGAGATGTGAATATGCTCGTACACAAATTTTCAATAAATTTAAAAAAAATAAAAACCTACGCGTTGGGTCTTGTTATGTACATATGCACCGAGAAAACCTAAATTTGTCAGATTAATTTTTTGTAATTTTATTTTTATTAAGAAAAAAAAAACCTTTTTATAAATTGCAATAATTTAAATGAGAAACACGCTACACATGTAAATAATTTTATTGATTAAACAGATATATATACATACATATATATATGTACCCTATTTTATTATGTTTTCGAAGGCATTGCTTTAGAGAAACCCACTGAAATCACTGAAAAACCATTTTTCGTTGCTGACTTTGATGTACATATGTATATGTAGCTACGTTTGATAGCAGGAGAGAGCGAAGGTTTCACTAAGCATGTTTAGCTTATAATATCATTTTCTAGACACCAAAAATTCATTCAGATTTAAATTATAATATGGATGCCATAAAGGAGCCGGACGAGTTAAAAAAGAAAGTGGATGAATGCCATGGCGTAGTGGAAGTCACCTATCCGATTGAGGTAAAGTATTGCGGAAACTGTTCCATGCCCATCGAGTACTGTGAATACTACGCCGAGTACGATAAATGCAAGGAATGGCTGGCCAAGAACTATCCGGAAGACTATGAAAAACTTATGCTAAGAGAAGCCGAGGCGGATGCAGGCGCAGCTGCTGGTGGCATGGATTCCGATAGGAAGCGCCAGAAGCGGGGCGGGAAGGGCATGCTGCGTGTAAAGAAGGACAACGAGGACGACAATGAACCGAAGCGTGTTCGACTCTCCTGCTCCACGCGCGGCAAGAACAAGCGAGTGACTCTTGTGGCCGGGCTGGCTGCATTCAAGATCGATTTGCGAGCGGCAGCCAAATTCTTTGGTACCAAATTCGCGTGCGGCTCATCAGTGAGCGGGGACAAGGAGATTGTCATCCAGGGCGATGTGAAGGATGATCTGCTTCAGGTCATACCCGACAAGTGGCCAGAGGTGACAAGGGATGCCATCGAGGATTGTGGCGAGAGCAAAAAGTGAGGGCAAACATGGAATGAAAAACAAAACGAAAATTTCACACGAATTCGAGTAAAGATAGCAGCATCATAAAGGATTTAATTTGTTATAACTCAGTTTACAAATAAACGCAATTAAGCACTAGACCCTAGTTCAACGTACATGTCACAGTCATGGTCGTCATCGTCGTCGTCGTGGTTGCTTACCACCCGCTGCCACAGATATTGCTTGCTGAGAATTGCGTATATCCTACGCGCTGGCTGCACTTGGGCTTGTCAGCCGAGCATTACAACAGTTTCAGGTGGCCAGTCACACGATCGATTTCGACTGCCGCTGCAGGTCCTACGGCGAGCACAGTCTTGGAATTCGGCTCGATCTGGGTGCGTCCAGCATCACGGATGAGACAAGTGTTCAGATGCCGTTGTTCGGCGGATCGCTTGATGCTCATCAGTTCGGCTTCGCTATCGACGCGCACTGCGATCTTTGCACATCCACAATTTTCCCAGGCACGCAATAGGCGTGGCGTACGAGTCACAGCCCTCTGATAAGCGCCCACAGCTCCGTGGGAGCACTGCGAGGCAATCTTCCCCTTGCCCATCTTCAGATCGTTGCGCACAACGAGCACCATTTTGTAGTTGTCATTGAAGCCGCCATAGATCTGAAAGTAGATAATATTTTATTGCAAATTTTTAGCTATCATGTGTAATTTATACTCGCGCACCTTGTCTGCTACTGCGACAGCTGCGCCTTCTGGCGTCTCCGATGGAGTCTCGTCAATTTTAGCGCAAGCTTCACCACGTTTTAGAGCATATTTGTACCCAACAAAAAATGATATCATCACAGCCAATCCATTTATAATTTGCGATGTGTCCAACAGTTTATCACCCATTTTTGACTCGGTTTTTATTGTGCTCTACTTTGTATAAAATTCGAAGAATGCGAAGTATTCTCGCACACCGGCACCGATACAAATATATTTCAAATTATCGTGAAATGAATCGACATTGCACTAGTTGCCAAACTCAGTTAACATAGTGCTGCTTCAATTTACAGAGTCGATATAAATGAAAATCTTATCGATTAATTAAACGCTCTCTGTTGTATGTTCATTCTTCTTTTTTATATTTTTAAAATTTCAAATCATTTCTAATATTTTTAAATTTATTTAAGCTTCATTCTATTTTATTGTATACTTTCTTTAAATCAATATCCAAAGAATACAAATACACATAAATGAAGTGGATAACATATCCTTAACAGAAAATATGATTTTAATACCAGCTATTCTTCAGTATTTTCATATATTTCTGGTATAATTTACATGCACTTTTAGGATTTCAGTATTTTTGTCATTTAGTTACACTGAAATCCCTTCTGACGTGTCGGACCAATATCGCGTCGTCTGCGGCGCTACAAATCTTGTCAGTTTTTGTCTTCGTGGAACTGCAATTATATTGTTGCGAATTTGCATAAGTTTCCAGTTAGCATTTTTGATTATTGTCGATAGCGAAGTAAATACAAAATCACAACCATGGGCCTAGCCAGCATATTGCAAGTGGACGAAATGCTGGGAGATTTCAATAGAATGAACAAACGCCAGGTGAGTGCTGCACCCAACGCCCGCGTCCTGGCCATGTTTAGTTAAAAGAAACATGCCATACTTTCAGTCGCTGTACCAAGTGCTCAGCTTTGCGATGATTGTATCCTCTGCACTGATGATTTGGAAAGGTCTAATGGTTGTCACCGGCAGCGAATCGCCGATTGTTGTGGTGCTGAGCGGCAGCATGGAGCCGGCTTTTCATCGGGGTGATCTGCTCTTCCTCACCAACTACAAAGAGGAGCCGGTGCGCGTGGGTGAGATTGTAGTCTTCAAAGTGGAGGGCCGGGACATACCCATAGTGCATCGTGTAATCAAATTGCACGAAAAGTGCGTACAATAATAGTGGTTCAAGCTATATTCTAAAGTGAATAATTGTGAATTGCATTCAAACAGGGAAGACGGCACAGTTAAGTTTCTGACCAAGGGCGACAACAACAATGTGGACGATCGGGGGCTGTATGCGCCCGGCCAGCTCTGGCTAACCAAAAAGGATATTGTGGGACGCGCCAGAGGGTTCCTGCCCTATGTGGGAATCATCACGATTTTCATGAACGAATATCCCAAAGTTAAGGTGAGTGTGCAATTCTTTGACCAATAAATGATAAATGCTAATAAATGATATATTTGCAGTGGGCCATACTCTCGATTCTGGCCATATTTGTGCTGCTGCATCGAGAATAGAAGCGCTTTAATATCTAGATAAAATTTAAGTAGAAGTTGTTGCACAATCTCGAGCATATTTTGCATTTCAGTTTGTTCAATTCAATAAGAATGTGCATTTTGTAATTTGTTTCGTTTTTTTTTTTATAAAAGACAACAAGCCAAGTGAGGAAAAGCACATTCAAAGTCCGGAGCTGAATTTCAATAAACCAACCATTTTATAAATACATATGTATCCCTCAAATGAAAAACCAACCTCTTTATAACCAACTGACTTATATATTAGCTTCGTAGCATAATAAGGAACTTTTTAGCGCTGCGCCCCACCCATATTTTACGGCGCCACTCTTCGATACCACGCGATGACAGGGTATTAGGATGGATACCTCGTTCTTGGCCACAGCGCTGGCCACCGCCCGAACAGCCTTTGGGCGATCTACCAGCTCGGCGAGCTCGGAGTATGTGCATGTGGTGCCAGCTTCCATCTTTGATAACTCCGCCCATACGGCCAGCTGCAGATCTGTGCCCTTAAGCGCGATGTCGACGACGGGTGTGTTTTCTTTTTCCTCAAACAGAATATTTCTCATCTCCTCAATGGCGTTTGCATCTGCAACGAGCTTCACTTTGGGCCAACGTCTATGAAGTTGTTCCAAACTGTTTTTGTCATCCATTTGCACAAAATACAAAACGCAAATAGCGTCAATTAATTTGCCGCGCTTTTGAATCGGTGTCGTCCCAAGCAGTATCCTTCCGAATTTGGAGTCGATGAAGCCATATTTAATCTGTTTTGGTGATTCTTGTAGTGGCGTTAGATACGCCTTTAAGTTATTCAATATCCACATTCAAGATTTATTATTTTTAAACTTTTGCTTATTTACATATCTGTGTTAACGTCGTTTGATAATGCGAAAACACCAACGTAATAACCAGAAGCTAAGAAGAACTTTTACTGTAAAATACTAAATATGTTCCACAATAAATTCAGTATTTATATACCGTATAAATATTATGCTTGCAGCCCTGACAAAATTATCTGAATTCCTCGATAAACAACTTTGATTATTCTTCTCGATATATTGGCTCTAGTTTAAAATCAAATATTCAAATATACATTTCCATAAGAGTATAATACACTGATAAATGATATGGTAAATATATGTTTGATATTCATTTGCCGGCATGTTTTCATTCTGCATAAGAAGTATAATTAAATAAAAGGGGCCCAACATGTATGCACATTTCTGACTCTCTCTTCAATAGATTAAATTTACTGAACTTCCTTAATAGCAACCTCTGTCTACCTGATTGTGCGCGTAGTTCACTATGAAAATGTAAGTTGCCTAAGTGGAGCTCAGTTTTTGAAAAAGCGCCTTTATTGCAACTTTCGAATTCGGCATATAATGAATGAATGTAAGGTTCATATGAGTATTTGTTCGTATATAAATGTTCATTGTAGTTATACATATATGCATTTATGAACCATACATACATAGTTACAATCATGTGTTATTTAACAGAGTATTGATGTATTGGAAATTTTGTATGTAGTCTTAAAATCCGATCCATCAAATTGCAAGCCGACTTTGATGAAGGCATTTGATGAATTTTCCACGTTGTTTTTTAATACTAGCAAATTAGTCAAATTTCAAGGTAGCCAGGCAAATCCCTAAAGAAATCTACATTTTTATACACATGTGATTTTGAAGGAATCGCTGCGATACAGTTCTTTTCTTTGGTAATTCCCTAATTCATCAAAAATACATATTGATGAGAATTGAATTACGGTCAGGTTTGCTTATTATTATATTTTGAAATTTTAAGTGAAGAACTATCGTCCTGTGATATTTTGTATGCCAAGATGTTTTTTAAAGATCAACAATTTTCAAATAAGTTTATTTATTTATATCTGGTTGCGTACAATTATATTTACATTACAATTAAGACTAGAGTATATGTATAAATATATCAATATATATATACGCATATTTGTATACATATATATAGTACATACATCAAGATTGAATACCAATTTGTCGAATAACTCTTGTTCTTGTCTCGAGAAGGCCTTGCTTACAGTAACAGAATAATAATACTAAATACGATTACGATTACGAGTACGAGTACGAGTACGAGTTAATTACCATGCTGCTCTCCCTCGGTTCGGCTGAATGGCTTAAGAATCTGTTTTATGGCAGCATTCGCATAGATTTTGATTTAGTTAACGTATTTGTATAGTGTTTGTTAGGCTTTGCATCTCGTAGTTGTTCGGCGTTCTACAGCTTGTTAATGCAAATTGCTCATATAACCCTGAGTTTAGTTTATTCTAGTCGAACTTTCAGCTGCCGATTCTAAATAGTAGCTACGTTAGTATTTGATTTAATTAATTTGTACAAATTACAAATGAATTATATTTATTCTTCGTGTCTGTGCATTTTAGTATGCAGTTAATTGGCTACTATCATGAAATAATATGTGTATATATTTATATGTTATAAATATATTTGTTTTTGGGCTATATTTTTTTAGATTTATTTTTTCTATTCATTTATCACAACAAAATGCGCTTGACATTTGGCAATTCTGTACAACAGCAAAAATAATAACAAGAAAGAATTGAAACTGTTTAGTCGGCAGCGCACGACTAGCAGATACCCTGTACTCATTAAACTTCCTCTCATATACATATGTATATGTGTATGTAATTACCATAAGAAAATCGATGCCCCTTTACCTTGTTATTTCTAAACATTACATATTTGTGTAATATATAATAATGTGTAGGTATATTCCTGGTGGCGGAGATCAATGGGATACGAGTCCGTTAGATCTATAGATTTGTCGTCTATGAAGCAGAAGTAAGCCTAGTCTAGTCTTGGGGTCCAGCTGACGGTGTGATATAACTTTTGACGCCATGAACGAATCAAATTTTTAATCGATTTCGCCAAGCTGCACACGTTGCTAAGCCGAGGCGGGCTGCCAGACGGACGGACAGATAGTGGCGATGACTGAGAGCAGATATGTGTTATGTATGCTCCATGCTAGTTCGACGTTAGCTTGGTCTGGTATATATTTGGATATTTGAAGCTGCAGGGGTGGCTCAATGGGTACAGGGTATTTTAACAACAAGATCAACAACAACAGCTGCAACAACATCTTCAACAACAACAACAACAATAGCTATTAATTGTTTAGTTCTATTTGGATATTGCTGTTGTTGCTGCTGTTGCTGTTGCTGCTGTTGTTGGCAATTCACTGCTGGTCAATTCGGAAGCCTTCAGATCGGGTTGCTGTTGTTGCTGCTGCTGGTGTTGTTGTTGCTGTTGTGGCTGCTGTTGCTGTTGATGTTGCTGTTGCTGTTGCTGTTGTTGTAGGGGCTGCTTCTCAGCTAAGACGGGTGCGCTGTGTTGCGTTATCATATCCGCCGGAATGAGACCTTCTTTGACGCGCTTCTTTTGCTTCATGCGACGATTCTGAAACCATATTTTCACCTGTGAAATAAAAATACGGTTAGAATTAGAATTTTATGCAAGATGTTCAGTGAATTATTTTTATTATTATTTTGTAATATAACTGCGTTAGCTGACCTTCCATCAACTGGAAAGTCAAATGAGCGCTCTTTGGCATGTGCTATGGGTGAAGTAGCTCCTTGCACTGGCTACTTTAGCTACTGTCTTGAATTTGGATTCAGAGCAGTTTCAGTTAGTCGGAGGCTTAGACTCACCTGCGTCTCGTTCAGCTGCAGCGTGTTGGCAATTTCGATTCGGCGGGCACGGGTCAAGTAGCGATTGAAGTGGAACTCCTTCTCCAGCTCAGTGAGCTGCTTGTTGGTGAAGTTGGTGCGGCCCGAGTTGTTCGTGGATGACAGACTGCAGTTGCTGAGGCCGACGCCGGCGGGGGCACCAACGGCACCGCCACCGACAGCAGCAGCACCACCGCCGGCGCCCATGGCCAGGCCATTGGTGGCGACGCCCGTGCTCGCGCTGCTCGGCAGCAGCGGGTTCTGGATGGGCAAGACGGCAGAGCTGCCCCCGCGGCACATGTCCAGGTGACCATTCAGCTGGTAATCGTGCAAGTTGCTCATGTTGGCAGGTAGTTTCGGTGCTGTAAGACAGAACCAGAGAGAGAAGAAGAGAGAGAGAGAGTGAGCCATGGGAAGAAAAGAAAGAAAAGTAATCGTCATTCAGTTAGAGTTTTTTTTTTGTTTTTGTTGTGGTTACGCTTTGGGTTAGGGCTGAGTGATCCCCTGGCGTTGATCTCTAGCTGTCGTACCTAATCAGTGTGAGAGGCCCCGAGACCCTGGCCAAGCCATGGGCATTGTTGGCATTCATCTGCATGTGTGTGTCTCTGTGTGTGTGTGTGAGTGTTTGTGTGTTGTATTTACTTTTGGGCCGTGCCTTTGACTTTTGCTCTTTGCGTGATTCTGCATTTTATTCATAATTTGACATGCGCCCCGTGGCTAAAGCCGCCGATGATGAAAATAATCTCGGCCCTTTCCATAGAAGGATTTAATGTGGCTAATAGGTTTGTTTGAAAATATTGGGATTATCCTGACAGCGGGTTTGACTTTATCTTAGACGCAAAAAACAAATCGAATACAATTGTGGGTGGCACGGAAATTGGCTTTCTTGCATTTGTTTTCAGTGGGCCTGACTGGTTACTTAAGCAACGACGTGTCAAAAAGGTATTTTCGGATCTGCACAGACCTCTATGGAACGGAAGGAGTGTTTATAGCTGGGACCCAACCTTACATAGTATGGATAAAGGACAAGGCTAGATCTTTTGCATTTATTGTCCTTAGGCTTGATCTTCTTACACGCAGATCCTCGGAATATAATAAATTGAATACGCATTAATGATACTAAAGCGGAAAATGTATATATTATTATTATAATTATTATTACTATTAGAGAGGAGAGAGAGAGAGAGAGAGAGAGAGAGAGAGTAAAATATTTTATTGAACTACTCTGACACAGTCGAGTTATGGAAAAAAATGTGGAATAAATATGGAATACGTATAGAGGTGGTGCGGCTGGTGATAAAAACCTTTTCACACAATCATAAATCTAAATGAAAGTTTCATTCAAATAAATCAATTAACGAGCATTAAGTAGCAATAACGACAAGTAAGTGTTCAGTAATATTGGAACGACGCTTCGATTAGCTTCAAGTTAAGAGGTGGCCGGCAGCTGGACGGGTCCGGGAAAGGCTCATAAGTAAGAACAACAATGTTCGAGCATTATGAGCGCAAGTAGTTGGGCTTTTTGTTGTATTTTATGCATTTCGGCAATTGGTAGCGACACACAATAAATCAAACGGGCGCTATCATAAATTAAAAAAAAAAATAAGAATATAAAGTGGGAAAAATAATGGAAAAGGCCGTCCGCTCTAAGCACGCGAATGAATGATGAATTTATGACACCTACTGCAAAAGAGAAGTCAATTTGGCGTATACTGATGGCGGCCACTGTGGCTCAATTGGCACTGCGGGGAGGGGGCGCAGTCGATAAGCCGCTGCTGGAGCTGGAAACTGAAATCGAACTCAAGACTCCTATCATAATGCACACACACACTCACACACACACACACACACACACAGAGGTATAGTTGTGTATGTAAGCGTGTGTAAGAAAACAAGCAGAAGGATTAGGCTGTGAGTGGCTTGGGCTACATTTGAATTTTCCAGCAAACAAACAGAAACGCTCAGTCTCGCATTCCAGTCGCCAATGAGCCCGGGCATTTAGGATAGTATTCGGTATTCAGTATTCGGTATTCTGTATTGGAGCTGCATTCACTGCTGCTGCTGCTTGTGCCGGGCTGGGCTGAGCTCGGCTGGTGTCGTTCGACATGTCAAACATGTCGCGGACAGTTGGCGGCACCGTCGCCTTTAACTGGCGTCCGCGTCCGGCGCCAAACGGTATCTACATTTGTAATATTAGTTTTAGAGAGCATTATCGATGGATCGCTTCCACTTGAATGCACGCAATGCGTTGCTGACTGTGTCGCCTTCTGTGTTGACAGTGTGCGCCAGCAGAAAACCTACGGGCAGCGGACGATGGGACATCGGGACGATGCGGCGATGGGACGATGGGTAACTCAGTTGCACAAGGCCATTCGCTCCGACTGTTTATTGGCGTGGCGTGGCTGGCGCGGGCGAGCGGCTGTCGCAGTGGCACCGTGGCGCTTAAATGACACTGCTGGCAGTCAATGTAAACAAGAGCAGAAGTTGCACCACCACCTCCACCACCACCACCACCAACAACAACAGCAACAAGAACTCTCGACTGGGCTGCACGTGTGCATGCGGGTGGGACGGAAGAGCGTTGGGCAGTTGGCTCGCTCCTCGAAAGTCAATGTAATTTGATATCTTCGCCAACTTGCTTTAATTACAATTGCAGGTTTTAGCTAAACCGTGCAACTTGTTGACTTTTGCATAGCTCTGGTAAATGCTCGTGTGAAAGGAAGGAAAGGGAGTAAAAGCCTCAAGTGTTTTTCTTTGACTCTTCGGGATTAGCTCTTGAGTTGGAGCTAGGAACTAGGTCAACTGATTACGTAGAGCTCATCAAGTTCCGGCGCAGGGGTAATATTTAAACTAGACCTTGATAGTCCCAATGTCTAGGCTATCGAATCATTAGGGCCTCGAGGCAACTACTTATGATTTGCGATTTAGGTATTGGTTTCAACTATCTCAGAGACTATCCTATAGAAAGATCATCTATTAAAAAATGTACTTTTATTTATGGTCATTCATATGCTCGATATCAATATACAAGTATATCACAGCTGTTTTGTTAATATTCTAATTAATTTTCAAGTCGTACCCTTTCGAAGATAGAAGTCAATAACATATTTTATTTATAAATAAAAGAAAAAAATATGAATTTTATTGCTATTGTACACATATTAGTGATATTAGCTGAATTTCTGCTTATAAATGTGAATGCAAATAGAATTTCTTGTGCCTAACATGTGTGATCTCTCCTATTCCAACTACCCCAGCCCAGCTGTAGCTTCATTTGCTCCAGTGAATTTTGCATAGTCCCAGCTGAGTGATTCATCCGCCGGCGGCCATTTTGGTGCGATATTATCAGTTGGGTGATATGTAGGCGCCAGTGGCACTTTACACAGATCCCCGCCCTAGGCGAGTCGACAGCGCCGTCGTCTCTGGACGGGCATTACAGATAGCAGGGGACGGGGACCGGGGACCGGGGACCGGGGCATGGGGGCTGGAGATTAAGTGGGCAGGCGACGGGCAGTGCACAAGCGCTCGATGAGGGCTTCTGGTGTCTGGGCAGCGACTCAGTTGATAATATGTTTTAATTCGAGTGCAAATAGAAAATTATATTGCAATTAAAAGTAAATTGTTTTAATTGCCTGCTTAAACACACAACACGAACAAGAAAAGGCGACAACGTGCCTAATCACAAACATAAAACAAACGCGCAGAGCGGAGCGATTTTCGGGCACGATCGCTGATGATTTGATTGATCACATAGGCAGTTAAACGATTCTAAATATCAGTCAGCCGAAACTCACATAATTTATGGCCTCAAGTCGCTTGCCTAATTTGACATTCGGCTGGAAGCATTTCGCAATATGCGCTGATACGCTGACTGCTGACTGCTGACCGCTGACCGCCGACTGCTGATACTCAGTGTTAAGGCCAACAGATGGTCATTCGAGGCTCAGCTGACAGCTGACAGCTGACCAGAGTGCGTCGCCAGAGGTCAGTCGAATGCAGAAAGGATTAGATGTCTACATTGTGTACGTGGCAAGTGGAATACCCTTCGCAATAATCATGACTCGGAAAATAAATATTTAGTTAAAGCGAGAGTACAGCATTGCTACTCTTGGATGATATCTATTCTTATAATGAGAACATAACCTAAAACTATTAATCCAATCCCTCTGCCTCTCCCTCTCTTTTATCTCCTCTCGTAAAATCATATTGGAATATATACAATAGCTATGCATATATAGATATATATCTCTGGTTCCCTAGCACTCCCCAATCTATCCCATTCTTTATTTCACTCTAGCTCCATCTCTGCTGGAGCTGCCTGTATAATCCTGTTATTGAGGCGCTAAATGACCAGAGATAAATGCCCGTAGGAAGGGTATACAATAATCCTTTTGACTCGCAGGACTAATTGGCCATCTACACCCCACACTACTTAAACCCTTTTCGCCTGCCGGGGTGACTGTGTGAGTGCGCAATATATCCAGTTGGGGTATGCGTTCTCATTTGGGCCATTTCAATGCGCTTGCTGACTTGACTAAAACTCTCTCTCACACACCCACACCCCATCCACGCACACTAACTATAACTAATCCAATCCATATATGCTGTCAGTTTTATTGGTCAGCTGTCAACTTGGACTTTTCTCGTGTCATGCCATGCTGCACTTTCTGTTCCTTTTGGTAACATGAAATGCACAAAATTTCAACTTGCATTGCATTGGACCTCACACACACACACACACACACAGATACATACCTGTGCACACGTATGAGATAAAGTTTTCTTATTAATTGAAAGTTGTTTGGCTCCGGGGACGTCCCGCGGCTTATTAGTCACGATGCTCGTATTGTGGCCACGTGAAAACTGTTGCCCAAAAGGCTTAACCATCGTTTTGGGCTGTAAAACTGTTAGCTCAATTTCAAAACACATACATAAGTACACATACACACACACACATGCATGCGAATGTCCCAAATGGCGCCTCATTATAAAAATGTTGTCTGTTGCGCCGGAAGCAGGTTAGATTTAGTTTTATCAACACCTTTGAGTGTGCCACTCTCTCTCACTCTTTCTCTCTCTCTCGCTCTCTGTTCGTTTTGAACTAAAAGAAAATTTAAATATTGACATAGATCTATTGATACGCGCATGTTTGCCTAATGCAAGCATTAATAGCAACATTTTGGCTACTGCCTTTCCTTTCCACATAGATTAACAGAATCGAATTCCAGTAGCTGGGAATGCGAGCATTATTTGCTTTCCATTGATAAGGAGTGGCATGTGTGTTTGTCTGTCTGCACAACAAATTGAAATGTGCGCTTATGTCGGTCACAATAGATAGAAAGTGTGTTTAAGATTGAGTTCA